GTGTGTGTGTGTGTGTGTGTGTGTGTGTGTGTGGAGGTCGAGAGGGTCGAGCAGCAGCTTCCAAAATAAAAGCCTCACAAAGAAAGAAATGTCAAGTAGTCTGTGTTTAGACACCATATGTTCTGTTTGAGTGGAGCTCTGCTGTTCCTCTGGGCTGAACGTGCACACTCACGTGCACACTCACATGCACACACACGTGCTCAGTGATCTTTCTGCATTTATGATGACTGGTTAGAGTTTTCATCCTATGGAAGAGGATTGGGGCCACTGAAAACACTGAAAAAATAAAAATCTCAGAACTCTGATATTAAAGTCAAAATTCCTTTTTTTATTTTTTCAGTGGCCCTAATCCTCTTCTGTATCATCCAAATGTTGTGCAGATTTTTATCATTTTTGAGAGGATTAGAACATAAAATAAATCCTATAAATACAGAATTAGATCAAAGTGGTCTCATAAAGTCCTGGGGGCGGGGCCTGAAAAAGGTGAAGATAAAAACCTGCATGTCTTGACACAGATGTTTGTTTTTTGATGAGTTTTAAGCCTTTTGTTGGTCTGCAGGAGGAGAAACCATCAAAAGTATTAACCAGCAGTCCGGAGCTCACGTGGAGCTGCAGAGGAACCCACCTCCCTCCACTGACCCCAACACCCGGGTCTTCACCATCAGAGGCACCGCCCAGCAGATGGAAGTAGCTCGCCAGCTCATAGACGACAAGATCGGGGTACGTGAAACAAACGCACCTCCTCGAGTCCGTTTGCTCCGCCTGAGATTGTGAATCCAAGTGTAAAATGTCTGATCTGCTCTGGCCCCTGTAGGGCTCAGGGATCATGAGTAACGGAGGTTTTGGCTTCAGTCCCTTCACCCAGGGCCCCGCTGCACACCAGAAGTAAGAAACACAAAATAAAATCACCAGTGGTGACGCGTAGCGGATCATAAACCAGGTGTTTGTGTGTCTGCAGCTGTGGCAGCGGGCAGGCCTTTGTCACCGGAGTTTGGGGAAACACCTATCAGACGAGCTGGCAGAACCCGGGACAGCAAGACCCTGGTAAGAACAACAAGCATGAAGATACCCACAGAAATACACACATGCACACACTTCAGTGCTTTGCGCTCACAAACATTCTGCAGCTACACTTAGTTTTTTTTACCAAATAGATTTCAGTTGTCTTAGCTCCGCCTATTTTTGTTTCCTTTGTTAGTTCCTCCTCTTTTTTTCCTTCACTGTTAGCTCCTCTTTTTGTTTCCTTCACTGTTAGCTCCTCTTTTTGTTTCCTTCACTGTTAGCTCCTCTTTTTGTTCCCTTCACTGTTAGCTCCTCTTCTTTTTGTTTACGCTAACATTAACTCCTCCTCTTTTTGTTTACTTCAATGTTAGCTCCTCCCCTTTTGTTTCCTCTACCATTAGTTCCACCTCTTTTTTTTCCTTCACTGTTAACTCCTCCTCTTTTTTCCCTTCACTGTTAGCTCCTCTTCTTTTTGTTTACTTCAATGTTAACTCCTCCCCCTTTTGTTTCCTCTACCATTAGCTCCTCTTCTTTTTGTTTCCTTCGCTGTTAGCTCCTCCTCTTTTTGTTTCCTTCACTGTTAGCTCCTCCTCTTTTTGTTTCCTCTACCATTAACTCCACCTCTTTTTGTTTACTTCAATGTTAGCTCCTCCCCATTTTGTTTCCTCTACCATTAGCTCCACCTCTTTTTGTTTCTTTCACTGTTAGCTCCTCCCCTTTTTGTTTACTTCACTGTTAGCTCCTCTTTTTGTTTCCTCTACCATTAGCTCCTCCTCTTTTTGTTTCCTCTACCATTAGCTCCTCTTCTTTTTGTTTCCTCTACCATTAGCTCCTCCTCTTTGTTTCCTTTATCATTAGCTCCTCCTCTTTGTTTCCTCTACCATTAGCTCCTCCTCTTTTTGTTTCCTCTACCATTAGCTCCTCCTCTTTTTGTT